GGTTCTACAGTTATGCATTTTTGAGATACACCAAAAAAATAAAATCGATTTTTCAAAAATTGGTTTTGTATAAAAGTCACCTATTTTTTTGTTTTTCTCAACGCTTTCTAAAACTACTAGAAATTTTTAATTTTGACTTCCCAAAAATACCAACTAGTTTCACTTTTCTATCAGTAAAGATGCTGATCTAGAAAATCTGAGCACTTTTACTACCCAAAAAGCGCCATACAAAACAGAAAAAAAACACACATCATTGTAAAATCAATACATTTTTTCTAAGCATTTTTTTTCTATAAATATTATAGCTAAGTTGTTGTTTTTTGGGGGGGGACAGAGCGCTTTGAAGATTTTTATCATTTTCAACTTTGAAAATTGAATTTTAATCATATTAACTCGTTTTAAATGCAATACATTTATTTGATGACTGCGGACTGATGTCAATTAATATAAGTAGGTATAGCCGTAGGTATAGGTAGTAAAAATTACAGCAATTGAAGATATGAATATAAATAAATAATTATTTTTTTTTATTCATTAACTTTCTTTTTGTATGGTATCTACAAAAGCGGGGCCTGTCAAACTGGTGAAGGCGCGGGGTCCAGGGCGAGGGCTCCGCTCGCCCTGCCCTAGGGACGGCCCTGGCCATGGCCCATGGCATCCCCTGCAGAGTTATTATAAACATGATAGTTATTAGATGTAAATGTTTTGATTATAAATTAGAATCATGACATATTGACATAATATAGTTCATAGTAGGTACCTATTAGTTCAAGAATTTAAATATTTTGATTATTTTTTTATATTATTATTTTCTTATAATAAAATAATGGGAGTTAAGACGAAATCAAATATTAATTAGATTTTATAATTATATATTCATAATCGCCACAGGTACCTATAAATAATAAAATAGATTGCCAATTATAGTATAATAAATAATAATATAGTTGAGATCAAATATCAAAATCAACCATTTTAGCGAGAATTGTGGGTTTTGTCGCCAGAACATTCAGGCCCCTGCAGTATTGCTTATTTTTATTTTACCTACAACTATCGAAAATAAAAGAATTTCGATTAATTAGATTATCATTTTTTGTCATTATTATAATATAATCAAACAGGGGCGTCTTCAGGTCAATTCCATGAGGGGGGAGAAATTTACTCTTAAATACCACTTTGGTAAACAAAATATTTAAACCTATATATTTTATGTAATATCGTACAAAAACAGAAAATTACACGTCTTACGGGATGAGGGGGGGGAGGCTGTAATAAAATGTCTGTAGGTTTTTATACTGCTGTTACTTTATTGGAATGAAATCACAGTACAAGTTTTCAAATTAAAATATCTAAAACCAATAAATAAGCCAAACAAAATGCATGTTAATTTCCATTCGCTTTATAATATGGCAAGTTATTCATATCTACCTATTAAGATTTTTTGGGGAGTTATTTTTTGTATTGAGCTACCTAGGTATGTTAAATATACCGACATACCCTGCGAAAAAAGTCTGCGCACGGCTATGCATAATGCATATAACATATTATTAAATACCAACTATCTAAATTGTGCTTGAACATAGGCGAGGATAACGTTTGAGATTTGGAGGGATACATACACTCCAAGACACTGATCGAATTTCCTCGACAATCGCTGGCGAATTAACTCGCTGCGACCAAAGTCGCTCAATGTAATCGGTCTAGTCGCTTACTCGCCGAGTGTTGAATACCTACTCGCTACTAGCCCTCGATTAAAGTTGACGACCTAGCTACTTTAGTCGCTAATCGCTGATGTTTTTACACTCCAGAGAGTAAAATCGCTAAATGTAATCGCCCTAGCTGGCAAAATCGCTAGTGTGCCAGCAAGTAGTGACTGGTAGCGAACGATCACACACGGTCACACAGGCGCGACTTTGTTCGCCAACAACTAGCGAGTAAATTCGCTCAGTGTAATCGACGCGTATAGTAAAATGTTTACCTTTATAAGTACCCGTTAAATTATCTTATTTCATCCAAATTTAAACTAAAAACATGAACTAAGGTGACTAAAAATGTGTCTATAATAAAAAATCTATGTAATATATTTTTTTAGATTTTTTGATAACAATATTAATCACAAGAACTAAATTTTTAACTACAAAATAATTTGAAAATATTTGTGATTTTAATCAATATATTTTGTCAACATTTAAACTTTAAACTCCAATAGGAAATCATTCTTGAGTAGCTATACTTAATACTTATAAACTTCTATTAAAATACAAACCTTTTATTACACACTTTTCTTAAGTTCGCTTTCACGTCTGTTTGTCTGTAATCAAATCTTGCTCTCTCGATTTGAGGCACTTTTTGACGATGAAAAATTCTGAAAATTGGTATAGACCTTGGTCTTGGATGACAATACAATAATCCGTTGTCATTTTGGGACCCGGACCTCCAGGTCGGCGATGACGGGTGTGCAAAGTCATCTCCGAGGAAGTACAGGTACGAAGGGTTAATATACAGAATATAACAGAATAATGTTGTTAAAATAAAAAATAAATAAAAAGTTAAGTGAAAAAAAAATCAGCGTTGGAGAGGAACTCGTTTGTTTCTTTTAATTAAATATAAGAAATTTGTTTCATAAATATTTTTTAAACGTTTAATAAAAAAAATAACTTTTAACTAAAACGTAGAAAATAAAGAAATAAAAAAAAAAATTTTAAAAACACTTCTAAAAACATTTAAAAAAAAAATATATTTGAACAAAATTGAACTAAAAAATATTTTAAAAATTGCACTAAAAAGACAAAAATAATTTTCTGTACAAAAAAATAATGGAAAATTTATTGATGAAAAATTTAAAAGTGTGTGGTGCTCTTACACTTGACATATACTCCCAGTCACTATCTTATAAACAGGATTGAACAAAGAAGTGTATGTGAGACTTAGCTCGGCTTTAAATGTTTTGTATGATGCACCACACACTTTTAAACTTTTCATCAGTAAATTTTCCATTATTTTTGTCTTTTTAGTGCAATTTTTAAAATATTTTTTAGTTCAATTTAGTTCAAATATATTTTTTTTAAATGTTTTTTTTAGAAAAGTGTGTTTTTAAAAATTTTTTTTACACTTTTATCAGTTTAACATAGCTAAACATTTTTTATTGATATTTATATAAAAAAGAAACTAAAACTTTCAACAATTTTAATGTTTATAAATAGTTCAATAAGAGTAAAAATATCTTTTAATCATACACAATGTATAAAAAAAACTAAATTTTTGAATTACAACAAAACTAGAAAATCGTTCCATGGTAAATCATTAATTTTCGGATGAATATTGAATGTTGAAAAAAACCTAATTACAATCGCTCGTAAAAAATTAATTTGACTTTCCGGTAGATAAACTTTTTTTTTTCAAATCTTAGATAGGTATATAAAGAAATTTTTTATACATTTTTACATTTGAAATAAGCAATTTTTAATTTTAGCTTTTGGGTTTTAGAGGCCCCTCTAGCCCAGAGGTAGAAGCCCTGTGCATTGCACACCCAATTGTTGCGGCACTGTACCCTATAATATAATCAGATATACCTTCATAGTGGTATAGTAAAAATTGATAAAGCATAAACATTCAAAATATTGTAGATAGGTAGCGTATCTACTACCTACTGAGGATTAAATTACTTAAATATTAATCTTTTTTAACTAGAACATAAAATTAACGAGTGATATTTTTTGAAATAGTATCTAAGGGTCAGAATGGCTTCCACTCTCGACATCCTACTATCTTCTTGAATTATCAAAGACAAATATATATGATTTGATATTGTCGTATTGAGTTCCTAAATGTAAATGATTTTAGAACTGCATACAATTTTGTATGTTCTATAGTTATGTAAAAAATTATATAGTATAAAGAGATTTTTAATAATTTATAAGAGGACTATACAGTTTATTTTTCATAATGTTTTATTTTATTTATAAAATGTGTTTTAATATTGAATTTTTGTCAATTGTCTAAAATTCATAATTGATACACAATTGCAATTTTTGCTGTAGGTATTATGATGAATCTCTATTGTTCTAGAATATAATTTACATTACAACCTACAAAAAGTGTACATTTCTTGGAAATTATCAAAAGGAAGATTATGTTATGTACAAATGTGTGTTTATTTTACTGAAAACTGATAAGTACCTAATAAAATATTTAGAAAAAAAATTGCTTTTATGTAATACAATATTGAGGTTAGATGTCATATATAATTTGTAAAAGGGTATATACCAGTTGATATACAACATAAATAAATAAATAAATAATACAATATATCGAGTTAAATTAATAAACATTTTATAAAAGGAATCAATAAACAATAAGTAGGTACACCTACATTGTACATAATAGATTAATAACAATAAAAATAATATTTTTATCGACAATATTAAATATTAACTATATAAGATACTATTTAACTCTTAAGACAAAATGTATAATAATTAATACCAAACATAAATACTATTTTAATACAAAGTATAACAATTTTAATTTAGGGAAGGCAACAGGGGGAATGCTCTTAAATACATACATTTAATTTACAAAAAATTAAACAGTGGTAAGATACAACGTTCATAACTTGCTTAGATGTAGAGTTAAATTAAAGTTTGCTACTTGTCAAATTAATTTAAACAAAAATATTTCATTACAAATATAAATAAATATGGATGGTATAACATAGGGTTTGGTATATAGGTACATTGAAAAAATTAAATTGCAAAATATCGAGGCCTGAGGATGCTTATTGCTTAACAAATAACTTTATGTATTTAAAAATGTATAGATACATGTATATTACATTTTTGGAAACATTATAAAATAATAATACTTAGAATACTTGATAATGTGAAAAATTAGTGGCAATAATATTAAGCACCTACATTCTTCTACAATGATTCATGTTTTATTATTATTCATATTATTCATATATATTTTATAAAATATTCATTTAATTTAAGTGTGAACTAAGTTCCTTGTGACCAAGTAAATAAACTAGACCAGCTTGAGTTTTGGTCTGCAAGTGATCCTGAATTCACAAACAAATTGTTATTAAAACTTAAATCAAATCAAATTAGTTATTTATCATTTTACCTTTAGCAATAGTCTCTATTTGCTTCTGCTCATCCGGACTAAGTTTGAGCAGTTTGTTTATCACTGGTACTAAGTGATATTTTTCTACTCCACTTGACAAAGTTACAAACTATTTAGAGAATAAACATAGAAAAATAATCATATTATAATAATAAGTAAAGATTAACAGTACAAAATACCTTTAAAATTATATTTTTTAAATATTCCATATTTTGTATTTCAGCATGTCTGTCAACACTACGCTGCAATCGTCTAATATCTTCTTTAAGAAATTTATTTTGTTGTTCATATCGAGAACAATTTTTTTCAGCATCATTTAACATCATAGTTAATTGTTTCAATTGTTTTTGACTAGTGTTCAATTCACTAATTGGGTCACTAACTATAATATAAGAAATTTAATGATAAATATTCACAAAATTATATAAAGCTGATGGTTAATTACCACTATTATTATCAAACGATAACAGATCCGCCAAAGGCATAAGTGTTGATTTGCTGATTTTTCGAACTGATTCATTCGAACTTGCAAAATCTGAAAACTAAATAAATATTTATACATTTTAATATAATATAAGTTTTTATATACTAACCATTTCATCATCATCATGAATATGATTTGATGAAGTTGATTTTTTAAGTTTATTTTCGATAACAGGTGACACAATGTTTGACTCTGTTTCATTGGCATTTGTTTCTTTAGCTAAAATGATTTCTTGTTGTAGTTTGTTAATTTCATTTTCATGTGCTAATCGTTCGCTCAATATATTTTCCTATAAATTAGAACAAGTTATTTTTTTTACTTTTCATTATAGACTAACTTTTCTTCATTGAGACATATTGGTCAAGTGTTATCCCAATAATCCAAAATTAAAATAAAAACTTAAAAATTTGATGGTAGTTATGATTTATTGGTATGAAAGAATATTGTTAAGTGGACATCACAACCGCATGTGTTGTCTTACAAACATACAACATAGACAAAACGTGTTTAAGCAATCTGAGTAGAACTCATTTAATTTTGGTGTTTTTGGTTGTTTAAAAAATTTTAAATTTTGAAAAGTTAAACATTATAATAAATGTTATACTGGGAACAATGGAAAAAACGCACCGTTTTGCCTTCAGAAATATTATCACAATTCAATTTTAAAATAAGCTATTTTTACTCTAGAAACAAAATAGAGTGAGTTCTACTCGGACTGCGTAAACACGTTTTGTCAATGTCGTACGTGTGTATAATACGGAGATAAAACAAGCAGGTGTGACATCCTCTTAAGGAAAAATTAATATAAAAATAAACATTAAATATAAAACAATAATAATATATTATAATGTAAAAATATACCTATTTAGTATTTATGAAAATAAATAACACCAGATGGACAGAATAACACACATTTAACATCAACGCCATAACAGTAAAAAAATTGCTATTAAAATAACATTTAGAAGCAAATATTACCAGGTTATTGGTTATAATTGATATCTACTTGATAAAAATGTTCTATGGTTTTATGGCCCAGATAAACAGTAAACATTTCTATAAAAATATTAGCTTTTTTTGGTGATTTAAGCATTGTCTCAACCATTTTCCCTAATTAACTGGTATCCCTATTATGCAAAATCTATTGAACAGATAAATATCGGATCATATTTAACTAACGTTTAAAGATGTCTTCTCTTTTTCCATTAAGGATTTAATATTTTCAATTTCATTACTCAAACGATATATTTCTTTGTCTTTTGTTGATATGGTCTTTGTCAAATAACTTAATTTCTTTTCATATTTATCTATTTCTTTTTGTAACAAAATCATTTCTGTATTTTTATTCGATAATTCTGACCTAAAAAATTCATTTAAATTATAAAAAAAAAATCTTATGATTTTGTTCTGTAATGTAAGTACTCACGACACACTCTGTAAATTGTTTTTTGAGAGATTTAAAGTTTTGGTAACTTCTTGTAATTGTTCACTTAATTCTGCAACTTTCCCATGAAACACAGTGTCTTGTTTGTGTTTTTGAAAAACACTATGAGCTCTTACTTTATATGCTTCAAACTCATCGAGTAAACTTTGATTTTCTTCTGTGTACTTTGAAATAGATTCATTAGCAGTTTTTATTTCCACTTGCATTCGCCGAATCTAGTTTCAATAAAAATTAACATCATAAGCAATGATTATGATAATTAGTATGAATTAAAATAATTTTTACTTTTTCAGTTAGCTGTGAGTGTTGCAATTGATAATTTTCTTTTTCAGTTTCATATAGTTTTTGTAACTCATCATATTTACTGGTCAAATTTGCATTTAATATATTTTCTTGATTTAAAGCTACTTGGCATTCTATTAAACTATTTTCTTTTTCATTCAATAATGATTCAGCGTTATTCAACCCTATTCTACACACTTCTACTTGATGCTAAAATTAAAAATCATAACAAAGAAAAATATGATTGCTTAATTAATATAATTTAAAATTAGATTAAGTTAATAAATTATACAACATACAATTCTATATAAACTTTTATGAGAAATTTTAGATTTTTGTGTACTAATCATAAATAAGATTTATTATGTATTAATTATTTATGCTTTTTTTCAGAAACAAATATTTTATAACATTTAATTTAAATTTAAATATAAATCTATGATTTATAACTTACTAAATTCTGTTTATTTCTTTCTTGTTCGGTAATAATAATATGTTCCAAATGTTTAATTTGTTCATGCAAAGAATCAATAACATTGTTGGCATTAGAAAGTTCCTGTTCTAGATTCTGACTATGTTGCTTTTCTTCTTTCACTTTTTGTGATAGTTCGTCTAAAGTTTTCTAAAAAATCAATAAAAAATTTAATTAATTATTAAAATTATTTAATCAAATAGTACCAACTTCATAAGAATTTAATTCGAGGTCACGAATATTAATTTTTTGTTTTTCTGTTTTTAATTTATCCAATTCAGATTCCATGGATTTAATTTTTTCCTTTGAAACTTTTAAATTATTTGAAAGTTCTTTTATAGATGCTTCTCGATCTGTTTTAAGTATTTCAGCAGCTGATTTTTCTTGCTTAAAAATATCAAGTCTTGAAGTTAAAGATTTTTCTGATTCTATTAAACTAAAATTGATAATAAATAATAATTAAAACTATAATGAATACAAATTATAAATACAATTTATTATTTTATAAAATATTCAAATTAGTAGTTACCTAGTTATAGTATTTTGAGCTAGTGATAGGTCATTCTTTAAAATTTCAATATCCGATTTTAATATGGTACATAGCTTTGTTTGTTCTAATAGCTGATTTTCCTCTTGATTACATTTTTTAACTAATTCTTTTATTTCTGCACATTTAATATCATACTCATCACATTTAATATCATATTGTTGTTGTAAACACTTGAAAAAAAAAATTATATTTAAATCTTAATATCAACTCTGTAAATTTGGATTAATCTTGGAAAATCTGTCATAAATGCATATATTTTTGAAATTACTGACTTACTAATTATTTAATATATTATCATGAAAATAAGTTTATAATAATTAAACTTGACATGGAAATTTAATTAAAATAATTAATTGGTAATTTGTACTTTATAAACAATCATCTTGGAAAATCCACCCACTTAACACAATTTGAAAATTTGTTTCTTAATATTATTTTATAATTACCAATATTTTAAATATATAATTTTAGATTTTGAGCGATGAATGTATTGATTTTACAATGATGTGTTTTATATTTTTTATGTTTTTTTATGTGTCTGTGTACAGGATAAGAAGCCGAAATAAGTTTTGAGATGTTTACGGACATTTTTAGTTTTTTTTTTTCTATAAATGTCAATAAAATGTTATTTGTTCAGTGAAAAAGCTTGAAAATTTGAGGCAAGGCTCCTAATCTATTGTTACAACGGTCTTTGAAAAATATTAAAAATACATAGTCAACATTTTTATTTATAAGAATTTAAAGATCAAACTTTTACAAAATACGTCAAAATCACGAAAATTTAAAAATTATTGTTTAAAATTGTTTTAGTGTTTAAAATTCATAAAAATGTTTCTTTTTAAATCGAAGATTCAAATATTTAATACAAGATTCCTTATAAGTTTGTCTAATTTTATCAAAAAAAAAAATGCCTAACGGAAAGTCAAATTAAATTTTTTACGAGCGTTTGAAGTTCAAATTTTTACAACAATGGATGTTCACTCGATTTCTAATGTAGCGATTTTCTTATTTTGTTATAATTCAAAAACTAATAACTGTAGATAAATGAAAATTTCACTGAATGTTTATATTTTTATTTTCTATACTCCATACAATTTTGAAAATATTTTGATTTGTTTTGAGCTGTTTAAGGACATTTTCAGTTATCAATAAACTTTTTTTCTTTCTATAATTGTCAATCAAATTTTATTTGTTGGGTAAAAAATAGTGAAAATGTAATACAAGGCTCCTGATATATTGTTACTTTGTTACTATAGCAGTTGAAAAATATTAAAAATACATAGGCACAATTTTTTTTTATAAGCATTTATAGTTTGAATTTTGACAACATTTATCAAATTTAAAATTTAATAAATATTTTGTAGTTAAAAATTTATAAAATGTTCAACTTTTATAGCTAAGGATTGAAAATTTAAAACAATGTTTCAAGTGAATAGGTTATAATATATAAATTACTTTATTCATAATAATATTAAATATAGGTACTTAGTAACAAGGCCGTATATGAGGGGGTTTTGGGAGTTTGGATGTAACCTACTGTCCAGCAGAGTGATATCCACCTACGACCTACCCATCTTTTTAATATTTAGTCCTGTCCAGACCAAATAAACATATTATGTGTTTCCGACATTGTTTCTGATTTCTCATCATATAAGTAGCAACCTAAACATTTGCCAATAACAATGACAAAAGACGAAAACATGTTTCCGACAAATGTTTCTTGGTCTGGACAGGGCTTAATATTAAAAATTATGTATTTAAGGTATTGGTGATTATAGAAAATTATAAAAAAAAGTTTTCATGTGGGTGGACTTAAATAAGTATCATAATTTGATAAAAAAATGTTATAATACTATACTCATTTCCATGAATGAAAGGTACAGTTTCGCACATATTGAAAAATCATTGGGCCGTAAAATTCCCTCTGTAAAACCGCCGGCATATGGCACTTTGGCGAGACATGTGCAGCTGATGACAGGTACCTTTTTCTTGCAGAAATGAGTATAGAATTACATGCTTATACTCTGTCCCTATACTAGAGATCATGCCGTGGCCCGACCAAAATCGGTTTTTCTGTTTCCATGAGACACCTTGCCATAAGGGAACTGGTTTTGATAGCAGAGTAACTTGGGGGAATCCGGGGGATGTGCAGAACTGGAGCGTTATGGTGGGACAGAGTATAGATACACAACATTAATTGTATTTTAATTTTAAATCTTACTCGAGCAAGTTTGCCTTGTTCAGCTAAGGCTATGACCTTATTCATTAATTCACTTTTTTCTAAACTATGCTTCTTGATTTCATTTTCAATGGACTGTTTTAAATCGGCTATTTGTTTTTTTTGTTTTATAGCAATGGCTTTTAACTAAAATGAAAAATGTTATTAATTATCAATGTACTGTAAAATTAGTTATAATTTAATATTGACCTTTTGTGAACGGTCTTCTTGACTTTCATCTATTTCACGCATTTTATAAATATTGTCACCTTTACTAATTGATGTAGTGCTTGAATCATCTATACAAATAAAAATATTAAAAAGAGCTTAAAAAAATATTACTAAATTAGATTAAAAAAGTACCTAAATTTTCTTTTAAGTGTTGTAATTCCATATCCATCTCATTACACAATGCATCTTTTGCTATTAGTAATTCTCTAAGATTTAATACTTCTGTTTTCAGTTCTTTAATGTTTATATTTTTGCACACTATTTCTTTTTTCAAAGTTATAATTTGTGTATGTACATTTTCAATAAAACTATTTTTGGAAATATTTAAATTTTCAATTTCTTCAATTTTTTTTAACATAAATTCCATGCATTCAGATACTAAAAGTTTTTGTTTTGGTAATATTTCATTCTTAATTGTATAAAGATATTTTAAGTTTTTCTCAAGTTCAACATTTATGATTAGTAGACTATTGTCTATGTTCTCATTTAGAGTTTGCTTAAGATTTGAGTTCTCCGTAGAGTTCTTTCTTTCAGAATAATTAAGGTTAGTAATTTCATTTTTAAAGATTTCCTGTTTGTAGTTATCCATTTTATCTTCTAATGATAAAATAGTTTTTTCTTTTTGGTTAATTTCATCTTTTAAAGTTTTCTCAGAAATTTCAGATGATAATTTAAATAATTTATATTCTGTTAAAGTGTGTTCAAACAATTCAAATGTTTCATTTAGTAAGGGCCTCATTTTTAAAGGTAATTTATTATTCTCTATTTTTGAATTTTGTTTTACATAATTTTCAAACAATTCATCTAAAAGTTTTAGACAATTGGTGAAGTTATCCTGTAAAATATTTAGATTAGAAGATAATAATGAATTTTTTGAATTTAAAATAGTACTGTTTTCGGTAAGGTTGTTGATTTCATTATTTTTGACATCTATTTCTTGCTTTAAGTCGTTTATAATACATTTGAACACATTTTCTTCTTTCTGCATGTTTTGTAATCTTTGTACATATACTTCTCGTTCATTTTCATAAGTTTCCATTTGTTTAGAAAACAATTTTATTTGTTTTCGTAATTTATTATTTTCTTCTTCGGTTTCTACATAATTATTTAACTTTTCATTTATTACAGTAATATTGTTTTCCAATTTGTTGATTAAATTTGTTTGACCATCAAATACTTGTTCCCTTTTTTCACAGTGATTTTCTAATGATATATTTTTCTGTAATAATTCATTACATTGTTGTTTAATTTTACTTTGGGCTTCTTCTAATTTTAATTTATCATTTTGTAACTTTTTGTTTTCATTTTCTAAAGACTTGTATTTTATTGTATTACATTTTATCTGTTCTTTAAGATTTGTTTTTTCTTGATCGGCACAAATTCTAAATGCCTTTTCATTGTCTAAGGTTTTTTTCATTGCATCTAATGCATGTTTATTACTTTGAAGTGTTTTCTGCAAAGCTTCAACTTCATCTTTTTGTTGAGCATTTAATATGTGAATTTTTTCTTTTTGGTTGATAATTACTGATTCTGCTTCTTGTAGTTCTTTATTCTTATTCAACAACTCCTATAAAAATGGAATATTTAGAGTTAAGAACTTTAAGAGGAAGCTATGCATTTGTTGTCTCTGTCCTATACACATAGACATGGCAACAATTTTAAGTATCTAAATATAACACAGATTAATTTTAGAATTTTACTATAGATATAATAAAAAAAAAAGGCAACAGTGAAGAATTTGTAAGCAAATTATGTTTTTTTTTTATGCAACATTTTTCTATATACTAGTGACTAGTTAGGATTTAATATAAATAATATAAATATATCAGTTTTAATACTATAATTTAAATATCTTAATTCTTTACCTGTCTTTCAGAATGTTCATATAAGCGCTGCTGGTCAATAAATTTTTCCTCCCAAATCTTTTCTTTATTATGTAGTTCTAAAAAAAAAAAACAATAATTACTATTAATACCTATACCATAATATTTCGTTTCATAAATATTATTTCTTTAATTAAAAATTGTCATTTAATCAATGAAAAATTAATTGGTAAAAACCTTCATTTTCTTTTTTTATTTGAATGATTTCATTTTGGTATTTAGTATAAATTTCTTCCTTTGACAATCTTTGTAAAACCTAAGCATACATTAAAACAAATTATATACATTATAAGCAGGAGTCATACAAGTAAAATTTGGAAATTAACAATATCATTTCTTATTATATATATATATATATATTAATAATAGTCATTGTAATAACAATAAATTGTATAACATACATCATCACTATCATCTGAATTACAAATTTCCATAGTAGGTAGGTACCTAAAAATTGTAACACTCAAAATATAAAACTAATAAAAGCTCATAGCATTTCTATAAAAACATTTTAAATAGTAAATACTGTAAATTAATTAAGATAAATAAAGGTTAAGGTTAAGCAAAAACTCATAATGAAATTAAAAAAAAAATTAAAAACGTAGTACTTTTAGTTGTACCTGCTACCTATATAATAGTTGTAACTACTATCTTTTTTCTATGACTACAACTGTTTATTGGTTATCACTTATCACTTATATTATCAGTAATATAATATGTAAATATTATCGTTGTTATCATTAAGATATTGTGATTTGTGGTGGGCACCATGACAAAGTGCTTATCACTCTTAGATCATAATATACATTGCAATATTGCATACAAGGTTTATAGATAATATAAAGTTTTATTACTCTTCTATGATATAAACCTTGCATTGCATAGACCTATTAACTAGTTAGCTACCTACTAAATTTGATTATTTTTACAAGTGTGCTAGGCTGATACAATGTCTCCGCTCAGAATATTTTTTCGTTTACAATAATTTATCAATGTAATTTAAATATAACACATCCATTACAACGACATGCTTGACACCAACTGTACAGCAGAGCGGTACCCACTTGTCCACCTTTTTTCATATTGTATTAGGTGCCTACTATATTTATAGACTTATTAATTTATCAATATTATTATATTAAGTATAAATATATTACGTGTTTTGTTATTAATTAATTTACTTATTCATATTATTGTAAGTACAAGGTACTATATTTTTAAGTATATATTTGCGCGTAGGCCACTTATACCTAGGTAGGTATATACCTATATCATAATTCATAATATTAAATATTTAAATATTTGCAACTGCCAACTGACGATAATGACATTTAGGCCCCACACATTTACTCTTCCCTGGGCCCCGCAAATCGTCAGGACGGCCCTGAAACCATGTATACTTACTAGAATTTCTTGATTTTTGATTGATTTCTAGTTCTTTCTAGAATCTAGTCTTCAATCTTCTTGTAATCAGTAAATATCAGTTTAACTAACTGAGTGTAGGTACTCTCTATCCGTGAAAATAATGTTATATTAAAATATTACTTGAATATAAAAATAATATATAGGTAATCACAGAAATACAGAATAAGACAATAAGACAATATTAAATATTATGTAATACTCGTATTTAATATTGTCTTATTGTTTATTTATTGTCTATTTATCTATGATTCTCACCTAATTTGAGATTGCGACACACAAATTTCAATGATACTACTAAGTAGTAAGTAGATATCTGTGGTTGCGAATTGCGATATAATATTCCACTGGGGTTTAAGAATTGTTCTTTCGTAGTTTCGTGAGAGTAATTTTGAAGACAATAATTCGATGCTTGTTGGGCAACCATTTTAATATATTTAATCGTGGCCCATAGATAATACATATTGGATAGGATAGGCCACGGGCCACGGACTAAGGGGCAAGGGCTTTTACGATTTATGATTTTTCTACAGTTATCTACTCGTTACTACGCAGATATATAGATATTATATATTTATATGTATATAATAATATTATATGATATATCTGTGTTCGTTACTGACTACTATCTACTTTTACTATATAGGGCACTATAGATAATCAAGGCCACATTTAGGGGGGGGGGTACAACTGCCCCGGAGGCCAATTTTTTAAGGGTGCCAAAATTTTGTGGTCAAAAATTTGTTTACTTGTGAATTATTAAAATTTTATAATTTTAATTATTTTAATAACAGTATTATATAATATAATTTAGTATAATAGTATTATATAATTTTATTTTATTTATTCATGAAGTATCTACTTAAATATGCTAAAAAACAACTTATATGATGAATTATAAGCAAGGGTAAGTGTCATAAATTCAAATGTATCTTTGCGGAGAGAGGATCAAGCAATTACTAAACAATATTTAAAAAAAAGCACACATTGTAAAACAAATATGAAAGGTTAATAAGGACCTATCTCCCATATTTCCTGTGGGTAGGCCCCTTAGGGGGGAGCAATTTTTTTTCACCGGGGCTTTGGTGGCGGCAAATTTTTTTGCAGCGGGGCCCAAAATGTCTAAATGCGGCACTGTAGGTAATATACAGTGTTGTAAAAAATACTTTTAAAACGTATTTGAGTAATTACTCAAATACTTATAATATAAAGTATTTAAAATACCACCCAAATACTATATATTGTAAAATATTTGAGTATTACTAATATAATTATTTTCTAATATTTTCGTATAGCAAAGTTAGTAATCAGTACCTATAATCACACAGTATATTTTACAGTCAATAAAAATGTGAATAATGAATATACCTTTTGTTTAACGATTATAATATATTTTAAATTGGTACCGTTTCGATTGTCGTCGACGGTAAACTGTATTCTGGAGAAAAAATATTTAATTAGGCTATAAAAAGACGAAAACCAAAACTTAAATCCTAATGGATATTGAACTGTCCATAAATTAATAATGATTAATATAATTATTATTATAATATTTAGAAACAAATTAAAGGAATAAAAAAAAAGTATTCAATACTAAAAAAAAATATTTAAAATACCATTCAAATACTTCAAAATAAAAAGTATTTAAAAAAGTATTCAATACCTACAGAAAAAAAATATTTGAATACTTTTACTCAAATACTTTACAACACTGATAATACAAATAACACTTATATACTTAATATAATATATAAACAAATTATATTGCTGATGTACAAAAAATTAAGTTAAACCATCAAATTAGTTTTAATGATTAATGCACTAATAGTTATATAAAAATGTTGAGAAAATTAATACACCTTGTTCTATATAATCACAATGGACGACTACGAATTGGTTCTCGGGTTGTCTACAGGTAACATACGAGTTGGTTCCCGCAAACTTTCATAAATAATACAACCTTGTTAAATGAACTTAAAAAATTATTATGATATATTCAACCAGCAACAATTTCCTTCCCATTTATTCAGACTGAGGACTGTCTAGAATTCAAATAAGTTTGAATAGTTCAAACACTATCAAGCATACCTAGGTATGGTTAAAAATGTGGCTCAGTATAGTTAATATATACATAATATACGCTACATGTGTATTTGTCAATAATAATAATTATGTTTTTTATAAATAAGTAATAATAATGTAATAACAATAATAATAATAATAAGCCATAATAGGTAAGTAATATTAGAAAAAAAATTAGTGTGGTATGAATTTACAACACACATTTTTAACGAACTGTAGGTTCGAAATTGGCCCTCTTTCAATTTTTTAATATTTTCATCAATAAACTTTTCCTTTTCAGCAATTTTTTTTTACTTTAATTTAAGTGAGCTTCTTTGCTTTGTGTATGTTTCACATTGCACCGCTTTTAATTGTTCAATCAATAAAAAAATATTTGGGTGGGCGGAATAAAATCTAGAATTCAGTTTTCCATGAAACGATTCGCAATAGATTGTTGTTCGTTCTGAAGTGGCTGAAAAATCTGCCCAAATTTTTGGTAAAAAATCACTTTTATTTTTGATATAATTTTCAAGTACATGATCAAAAAATGTATCAAGTTTTTAATGTACTGGTTTTATGGCCATCAATTCAACACCACGCCTGTCCTAAGTGGAATCTACATCCTCTTAATTTAGACTCTGGCCAAACTTCAGAAACTGCCAGGTGAATAGCCTTTTCAAAATCAGCAAAAATAATTTCAGGCCTCATATGATGTTCTATAAATCAAAATGCTTGTAGGTATATAAGTAGTACTGTTCTTATTGGGCAGTAGGAAACTAGGAAATAAAAATAAACTTTCCCAGACATCGTAAAACCTAATAAAATATTATAAGATTATCGATTGTACATATTATACGTATCTTGTAACAGTGAGTTTGTATACTGATAAACTGATAAGTAATTTTATTCGGGAACCAATTCGAACAGTTGTATACTGGAAAGTATTTTTTTGTCGGGAACCAATTAGTACACTTTAATTGACCCGGGAACCAATTCGACGTTTGCCATCACAATTAATTATTAATTACCTACCTACTTATTTTATTTGTTCAGTATAGAAAGTTTTGATTCTGAGTGGAGCGATGATGTATTTATTTTAGTGTGATGTGTGTTTTTGCACGTTCAATACACGATAGGTAAGTAGTCGAAAATATGGTTACGATTTTCAGCATATTAGATTCTGAATGGTGCGGTTATTAATGTTACAATGCTTTGTGTTTTTTTTTTTTGAATTTTTTTTTGTCTGTCATCAATATTTTGGGTGGTAAAATTTCTCCGAAATTTGACACAAGCATCTTTTCAGATAAGAAAGTAAAACTATGACGTCGGGAAAAAAAATGAAGGAAAAATAAGAATTTTTATACCTACGCAAAACTAATTTTGTTTTTTTTTGGTGAAACTCAAAAACTAATTTTTGTGACATGTTTTCTTTCATATAGAAAAGGAATGTAAAAATATTTATGAATTATTTGTACATAGTTAGTTACAACTTATTCTTTCAGCATTAATTTTAATTAATTGTTATGTAATTTTAAATTATAAAATACATTATTTTTCAATAAATAAAATGCTACCGTTGATTTTATAATTTTAGGTAATTTATAAAATTAAATATTTCTAGCTTATTCAGTCATTGATACCACAAACTTGAAATGTTGTAACTATGGTAGGTATGCCATCTATAAACATTAATATTTTTTATCGAAACTGCAGTATTGCACTTGGTCCCACCACTACATCTCATAATGGCATAATATTCTTTGTTACTCTGAATCCAATGTAATAAAAATCACTATTTAAAAAAAGTTTATTTTGTGATATTTTATATTACAACAGTAATGATTGAGGTTGGGATTATAATGTACTTTGCATTCTTTTCCAAATCTACGCGATACTCGTTTTATAACATTAAATTTTTTGAAGATTTTAAATTTAAAGGTCATTTTTTGCATTTAAAGATTTCTAGAGCATTTTTAAATGTTCACATGTTTTTACATGATTTTTATAATAAATATTTGATCTAAACTTTAGATACTAAAGTCTAAACCTATAGGTACAGAAAAAAAAATAGTTAATTTTCAGATTAAATAAGTAGTCTAAATGATAAGTTCTTTCTGTAAAACTTTTATAAAATCATTTAAAAGTTTTAAATGTATATTAGAATTAAAAATAAAAATAATTTAGTGCACTATTTAGAATTGTTAGGGCATTTTTTATTTTTTTAGAATATTAATATCATCAATAACAATATATGATAATCAACCCAGGAAAAGCCAAAGGGGGGGGGGCAACTGCCCCTACTCCCCCCCCTCCTGCGGACGCCCTTGCAACCAGTACAATGGCTTATGACATGACTATACCTATTGTACAGCAGACCACGCTGTACCCACTTGTCCACTTGACCACCTTTTAGATTCTGAGTAGAACGATGAATGTATTGATTTTACAATGATGTGTGTTTTTTATTTTATTTTTGTGTCTGTCATCAGTAAAAGTGCTTGGATTTTCTTCAACAGTAGCTTTTCTGATAGGAAAGTGAATCTAGTTGGTATTTTGGAGGGTCAAAAGTGAAAATTTCTCAGTAATTTTCAAAAGCGGCTTGAAAAGCAAGATAAAAATTAAGGAAAAACGGGAATTTTTACACTAAAATATGCTTGACATACGACTTGCGCCCTAGGTAAGAAAAAAAACGCCCCCTTCCCAACCTACATTTCTTCAGTAATAAGTGTATTTGTAAAAAAACACAGGATAGTGTTAACATAAGTCATAATCTGGAGGTGTATTAGGTATACATAAAAAATACATTTAATGAAGCACTTATAACATAATTATAGTAGGTATACCTATTTATTATTAATTATACAAAAACATTAATGTAATAGGTTGTGACATAGCATATATATGCTATATTAGTAGAAATATAGCATATATATTTATTTAAGAATACAATATTTATTTTATTTTTTTTGGCTGAGGCTTCGACAACTAAGGTCATTAGCCTGTGGAATTGTGGGGGGTACTGTAGGTTTTGAACACGTGTGTGTTTATTTTGACATAATTTTGAAGTGGGCACCCTTAGGTATCTGTCATGCCCGGGTGGCGGCCTCTCTCTCCGGACACCGTGACTGCCCGAAGAAAAATGCCACCCGTGGCTGAGTTCGAACTGGCAACGTTGAGCGTCGCAACCGACGCCTTAAAGGTACGTTTTCCCTGTAGGTATTTTATTGGTTTTCTAATTTTCTCTCTCAATAATTTTTGATTGATTTAAAAACAAGATGAACTTTTAACTTTACAATAGCTTACAGACTTTAGTTTCGCTACACTACCTATCATATAATCATAATATTTATACGTTTCATCAACCATACGTTGCCGGAACCACAGAAGTAAATCAAAGCATTTTTAGTGTCCCAAAAGGTGATGTCAGACACAAAAATAAAAAAACACATCATTTTAAAATCAATAAATTCATTGCTCCGCTCAGAATCTAAAATTTACACTCACGTTGAAATACTGTTGACTGATGAAATAGTTTGCTGAATTATCCAGCATTCCAGCTATTAGGACATTATTTTAGATATCCATTTTAGAAGTTTTTTTATTAACATTACCAAGTGATGATTTACATAATACCTACTGTAATTAAAATGTACTCTCTGATCGAAAAGAATAACCATCAAGATTCATATCCATATGTAGAATTTGAGTTAAGAATTTTTATTTCTTGTCCTATGTCTAACAGTTCTGCTGAGAGATCTTTTTTAGTCTTAAAATGGATCAAGTCCTATTTGAGATGTCAATGAAAAAGCTCGGCGTAAACATTTTTAATTTTAATATATTCTTATACATTTTATAAAATTTTAAGGGAATTCTTTTTTAAGATGTTGTCACAACCTATTACATTAAGGTTTTTTGTAAAATTAATAATAAATATGCCTACTATAATTATGTTATAAGTGCTTCATTAAATGTATTTTTTATGTGTATCTAATACACCACCAGATTATGACTTATGAACACTATCCTGTGTTTTTTTACAAATACACTTATTACTGAAGAAATTTAGGTTGGGAAGGGGGCGTTTTTTTTCTTACCTAGGGCGCAAGTCGTATGTCAATATTATGTGGAATCTTCAACTTTATGAAGCTTATTTAAAGTCTCCATCTAATCTCATACCTCCAACTAAATTGATCAGATGTCGTTTTCGTTCCCGACCAGTGCCCCGCCTTAAGTCGCCGGCCATAATACTTTATAATATTATAAATTGGTCCCCGAGGAATTCATTTTTTGTGCTCGTGCATCGCTGGCAGACTATAATCCGCTGCCGCCTGCCATTCCGTTTTTACGTAATGCTAAGCTGGTTGATTACAGAATGCACAGTCCTTCGGATCATGTTCTACATAAATATATGATTATCACCAACCAACGTTAGTCGTTCAATTATAATATTATGACTACGTAGGTCAGATATACTTGCTAAATTTTATCATATTTCGTTATTTCGCAGAAAAAATTACGAGCAGCGCCGCTAAAATGTCTCATATTTCTTGCTACATTAAATTACACTTATTGACACACAAGTTTTAAAAAGATATTATGGTATTTTGATTTTAAAATACCACTTACCAGTAAAGGTATATTTAGACTGGATAACAATTTAGAAGTGTATCGGACAGCCCATGGACAACAGCACAAGTGCACAACTTAATGTAAAAGGAATCAAAAGAAAATATGTTAACAATATACAAACATAGGATTATCATGAAATAAAAATAAAAATTTTATAATAAGCATTTTATAATATTAAAATTACATTTTATCTTCAAAACTAAATCTAGGTGGTTAAAAAGAATTTATCAAAACCTTGATTCACCAACATCAAGAGTGTAAGATATATATATATATAGATAGAGATATAGAGAAGTGATAGATAGAGACAGAAAAAGAGAAAGAGATAGAGAGAGAGAAATATGGCAAAATCAGAGGAAACAAATATAACATTATATTATAACATGATCAGCAAAGTTAGGGTTGTGCGAGGAAGAATTGCTGATGATCACTTCCCCGCCGTACAAATTAATACTGTTTACATAAATATTAAATAATAACTATACACACAGACCGGTCGATTTAAACCAAACTAAATAAATTACTAATATCGTACCATTGTAACTTGTAAGCCATACACATCGTAATCATGACAACAACAATAATCAACCCTACGTAAAATTTTCGTTCGATTTCGCCGGGAGAAGTTGTCGGTAAATCACGTGTAATCAAGCACAAAAACTACGATAATAAGTAGCGCCCATAGGAATCAACAATTATTATAAAACGCGCGTATACCTACACTACGCACACGAATATTGTATATAGCATTATAGCAATATAGCATATTATTAGCATATATTATATAATGGGATATGTCGGTTGTAAATTGTAATAATAATAATATATACCTACTATTTATTATCATAACGAAATCAATAATATTATTAGGTACCTATATAATATTTTATATTAGATTATATAACAATAATAAATAAAGATTTTTGTTTTGATTATGGAATCTCATCCCATGGTTATATAATGTTTGGTGTGTATAGGAATACTATGTTTCGACAAAATAATATAATCATTATATTATGACATTGACGGCTACCGAACGTTGTTACAATTGTATTTAGATGACTCTCATCAGCTTGTTCGAGGTATTTTTGTTTCGCTTTGCGTGATCGTCGCTGCTCAGATCCGCAAGTACCCTGTCACACCACGATTTCGTTGGAGTCACTGGCATATTGGTACAGTCCTGAAACGTGTGACATCAAAATATTAGTTATCAATTATCATAATGTGTGGATTACTTAATGACTATTCTGATAAGTAGATTTAGTCGACAATGTTTTAAAGTTTGAACTTTGTATAGGGAGAATTCGTTTTAATTAATGACTATATATTATATTATTAGAAAAATTATGAAATACAAGGTACAAATGTTTGGTTTATCCTTTATCATTTATATTCATTAACAGTAAACACAACTTGATATCAGACCCAATGCAAATAAGATGGTTACTTTCACTATCACTATGATCTATAACTCTATAAGTTTTCACATATTTTATTCACGAACAAAAATTAATAGTTGTACTAAAACTAGGTACTTTAGACTAAGACTAGTTTAGACTTCACTAGTTTACTGTAATACATATTATTAGGTTGTGCCTAATATAATATGCGACTCATAAATAAATATATGTAATATTAATATTACCTACTTATAGTTATATATTATATATTGATATTACATTGAATGGTAAATGGTAATACTGCAGTATACTATGTTATAGAAGTAAAATTATATACCTATCGGTTTTAAAAATATTTTATGGAGAGTAGTTATTTAGGTACAGTACCTATTGGGAAAAATCTCAAATTAGTGTAATGAAAACCTAAGACACGATTGATAACTGCATATACACTAAAGGGAAGGGACCGCTATCACGGAAGCGTAGATGTCCCACCCAAATTATAGAAAATGTTTTTCAATATTTGTTACAAAAGATATAATTTCTGTAATTATACAAATAATTTATCTGTTTAATGGATATAATTTCTGTTATTACAAATTACTTATTTGTTTTAACGGATATATTTTCTGTTATTAAAAACAATGTATGTGTTATAACGGATAAATATATATAAATATTAAAAACAAATACGTCATTTGTAATAACAAAAAATATATCCGTTAAAACAACAAGTACAGACGTACAGTCGTTGCCAGATAAATTGAGACAGCGGCGGAGGCGCGATAAAGGAAAATCAGTGGTTCTCCGTATTTGAATATTATTACCGAAAATACATCAATAAACCAACAATTGTCACAACAATTATTTTACTCTATTAATTTAAAATCAAATATTTTGATAATAATCTTTTATTTAAGAACAAAAAGTAGAAATTGTAAAATAATACAAATAATATAATAATAATAATAATGAATACAATTTTTTGCACTAAGCCGGGTTCGAACTGGTGACTGCGAGCGTCGTAGACAACTTTCTAACCTTTGCACCACCCTACCAGCGACAAGTTTGGGCTACACTTACTGAAAAGTGTCGCCGCCGTCTCAATTTATCTGGCAACGACTAATTTGTAATAACAGTAATTATATCCGTTACAACAGATAAATTATTTGTAATAACAGAAATTATATCCGTTATAACTAGAGCAAGGACTTTCTTGAATTCGCATATTTTTTCTGGTTAACTTTATCGTATGCAGAGTAAGTACACAATACACTTCACAACGCTTGTGACCAAAAGCTCAACTTTTTTAGTGCATATTTTGACATTTTTGGGTTTAAAGGATATAATTTTGACTATAAGAGCATATCTTGAAGGTTTTTAAAAAAATTTAATAGGTACTTCGGTGAATATTTTTCACGAATCAAGGACAAACATTATTATATTTAACTGTTTCTACATAATTTCTCATAAAGACGATAGAGACTCATTTTATCTTAATTGTGAATGGGTAGATTAGATTACAATAAAATGATATCAAATTATTAATTAGGTTTCTTTTTGTATTTTTGTATAACAAATAACAAATTATATAAGTAGCAAAATAATTATTTAGTTCTAGAACATCGCCACGTGTGTTTAAGTTTTATCGTGTGAATAAATCAAGTTACTAAACTTATAGAGATAATATAAGATCATTAAAATTAAATATTTAAAGAAAAAATATAATTTTTAGAGCTATAAATTGTTGTGTTTTAATTTTTAACATATTTAACCGCATATTTTAAATTTTTGATGCATAAGTGGCATATTTTTAAATGCATATTTGATGATTTTTTAGCATATGAAAGTCGAATGCTTACGAAGATTTGAAAAAATTAAGTAGTCAGAATGAAGACTGCTAATTTTGTACTTTTTATGAGCACATTTTTTGATAATTATTAATTTTTTAAGATTTTTTATCAGTCCATAAGGAAGAACATTTTTCATTAATAGTAATTTTAGGTATAAAAATTGTGAAAGAGTGATTTTTTTTTCTAAGTTTAGCCCAAGGTGAATGTTAAAGAGAAATGTTATTTCCAATACATTATAATTACATTTGTTAAAACTATGGATTGGTAGGTTTTTGGAATGATAACATTAGGTACATAACATTTTTAAGTAGAATTAATAGGAGTCTGGTGTAAGTCAGCCTTTTTAACAAGTCTCCTGAATAGATTGATGTAACATAACCGTTAGTAAACAAACAATCAAGATATCTACCATTAACATTACTTTTATTATTAAATTGCTTTAACTTTAAAATATTTAAATAACAATTTGATATAGTAGATCCAGCTAAACGATTTTGACTTAAGGTATCCTTAAGCCAATCAAATGTATTTAGATTGAAATCACCTACTATTAGAAACTGTCGACAATTAATGTTAAGGCTATAGATTCAATAATCAATTAAATCACAATGATCAGAGTAGCTATCAATGGCCGCAGAAGGAGGTATACAAACAGATAATTGTTCATACATTAAATTCCTTAAAACATAAAATGAATTCAATATACTAGACAGATATAGATATTAAGATATACCATATTATGTAGGTTGATTGTTACAGAAGCTATAAAATGATCTATAGTCTTGTTTGGTGTTGTCCAGCACTTTTTTTATTATAAATTATAATACGATTAATATAGCTAGTACATACTAAGTTGGGGAGATTAAATCGTATAATGAAACATCAAATAGATGTATACCGAAACCAAATAGTTAATAGTTTAATCATTCAACGTTATTTTAGTCTAACTAATCTAACCTAACCAAAAACTAACCTTAGAGAGCCTAAACAGTACAAAAAATAAAAACTTTTTGACATTTATAAGTATATTGATTAATAATTGTTATATGATTTACTTACGATTATGTATTTCTTAGGAGTGACGTTGTCTTGAATAAAAGATGTTTGCGTTGATTTTTTTATTAATGACGATGTGATTTTATCGTCTGAAGATAATAAATATATAGCGAAGTCAAAACCTTTAACCAAATCTGTTTGTGTTTTGATTAAGTCTGGAAGAACGAAGTAAATTAAAATAAAATATTATATTATATGTATGAAAATTAACGAACAAAATATGTTTACCTTCATCAAAATCGATGTGATATTTCTTAGTTATATAATTATCACGATGTTCCATATTTTCCACCAAGTATTGGGCATTTTCTTTGTTCGCTTCGTCGTAAAATACTATTACATTATGTATAGTCTTCTCCGCTGTAAACATCGTAAATAAAAAACACACACGTAAACAACATGTAAATAATTATAGAAATAAAAAAAGTAGTGAAACATATTATATTGTCGTATTTTATTGTTTTCATAAATATTATTTTAAAAAAACCTTACATAGCGCATATTTATCACTTTCTAATTTTTTATTCATCTTTTGATACGTCAAGTAGAACCACCGGCGTTTCCAAACGATCAAAATTAACGCAATCATGACAAAAATGATCAATTTAAGGTCTCTTTGCACTTTTTTAACGGATTGTTCGTAGTTAAACACTAAACAATAAACAAATAAACATATATTAATGACAATCGATATAACTATAATAATATATAAAATGATGTAATGTTTAAATATTTAAAATTTAAAATTAACCATCATCAGTTTGACGTATTGTGGTTGGAAAAAAATATTGCTTATGTCACATAAACTACAAATACATATAATAAGTTACCATTTCCCCATATGTTATGTAATAGTCACAGGATATAATATTTGTATATATATATATACTTATTACTTATAACTTATAAGATAAACTATAATACTTATTTTATTTTTTTTTTAAATTCTGAGAGGAGCGATGAATGTATTGATTTTACAATGATGTGTGTTTTTTTAATTTATTATTTGTGTCTGTATAGTGTGTAGATACACGATAAGTATGTAGTTGAAATAATGCTTTGATTTTCAACTTCAGTATATTGTTCGATGGGAAAGTGAATCTATAGTTGGTACATTGGTCAAAATTTTAAATTCCCAGTAATTTTCAAAAGCGCCGGGAAAAACAAAAAAAAAAATGAAGGAAAAAATAGAATTTTATGCAAAATCGGTATTCGACAAAATCAATTTTTTTACACCAAATTTGGTGTAACTCTACCGTAGTTATATGAATTTTTTACTGAACGTTTATATTAGAATTTTCTATACTAATAAACTGTCTTCGCTCAAAATCATTTTTCGTGTACAATAATGATATTATTATATCGTTGAATTCAAATTTAACATCACATCCATTACAGTCACTCACTTGGAAAATTACTGTACAGCAGAGCGACTTCCACTTACCCGCTTTTTTCTTTTTTTCATATTTATTAAAAATTAAACAACGGTTCATTGACTGTTTGGGATGTATGATAAAGATTATAGGTACAATACTTATGTCCAATTTTGATTATGCTCATGTAATATTATATTAGGTAGGTACATTAAATTTGTTAGTACTAACTAGCTTCAGACAGTCAAATACAAACAATAATACAACTCACCCGGTTTTGTGATGTTAGTAAACTGTTGCATAATTTGGTCATCAGTATTGCTGATGGAGCACATATACTGTCCATAGTCAGTCTCTTGAATTTTGTTTATGAATAGGAATGCTCCCAATACTTGGTCATTTTCCCTATGAGAAAAAAATATATACAAACATTAAGACGACGCATAATTTCTGCGAATATTTATGTTTGCTGATTTTGTTTTTAAGTATGATATTTAATATTATATGATACCTAATCACTTCTTCTATTCTATATTTTTCGTTTGAAACAATTGTCTGTTTTTCACCAATTTTCTTCCACGTTATCGTGTTGACGGCATCCGGAAGACCTACTTTACCTGCATCAATCGTATTTCAGAATTTATTAAATTATTTTTGTCACGATAATTTATAAACAGAAGGTAATAAACTAGTATGTTGCATACTAGGTGAACAACCATTGATATATTTACCTACGAAACCCTCGCAGTACAGTCTGACAAATTCTCCTGGTAGTGCATAGTGTATATTAGCCATTTCATACGTAGGCAGAGGGTCTTCCCAATAAGACGTAACATCTATAAAATATAATAATTCATATTATCTTGTGGCCATATTATAAGAACACAAATTGAAAATATATTAGAATTATGTTCCATTGAAAGATTTTAATGAGCTAGTTCAAGACATTCCGCTATGTTGTAAATAACAATAAATAATAATCTATTATAGACTAGACGATACAACAAACAAAGAATAAAAATGTTTTAAAAAGTGGATTAGGTACTTTATTACTTAAGGCATTCTTTATTTTCGCAATGGAAGAATAAAATATTGTTGAAAATTCCCATACAATAAAAATTTGTGAATAATATTGTAGGTAATTAAATTTTTTAATTTATTAAAACATTTATAAAATTCTATCTTGATTTTTGTTTGATATTTAAATTTTAAAGCAAGTATCTACCAATTGTATTTTCATTTAAAAGTTTTACTGACACCCTTTAATTCTGAGCGGAGAGATAAATGCATAGATTTTACAATAATGTAAGTATTTATTTTAAAAAAATGCTCTAAAAATCAACTTCAATGAAGTTTTATGTCGGCAAATTAGATAAGGTTTGTACTTTTGGGAGGTCAATATTTAAAATTATCAGCACTTTTTAAAACAATTAAGAAACAGATAAAAATAGAATACGAAAATATGTTAAAATTTTAATATTATTATTAAAATAATTGTTTGGAAACCAAAATCGAATACCAAAATATTAGATTGTCTTCAATTTTTTCAATTTTTTCTGTAAATGTAGAAAAACATTTGTGGTTCGGTCAAAAAACTAAAACATTTAATATGAAGTTCCTTTTATGTTGTTAAATTGGAATAAAAACAACATTTGCTTAAGTCATAAAAAGTATAAAAGACATATTAAAGTCACAATAATTGTATGAGCATTAAACAAAAGAATTCGTCAAAGAAAATTGAGTTTGTCAAAAACTGGTTTCTTCTCAGTATTATTAATTATTATGAAACGTACTGGGGAAAAATATATAACTTAGTATGTAGTAAATAATAAAAATATACTAATATACCATTATAATAATTACCAATTAGTAATACAATAAATGCAATGTTTTCGGTAAATATTAAATTAACCTACCGTAATACTATAATTGTAAAATAAATTACTTTAATAAAAATACCAAAATCATTTTGGGAATTCAGGAAATATACTTAGTAATACCGAGAGTCTGCATTCACTCAGAATCGTGTTTTTCGCATTCAGTGATTTATCATTGAATTCAAGTTTAACACATACATTTATACATAAATAGATTACAGTGACTTTACTCAATAACTGAGACCGTACAATATTACTGTACTGCAGGAAAGCAGTTAGATTATCATCCACTCTATTTTCATTTAAATTTAATAATAAATAATGGATAGTATTTTCATACATTATATTAATTTAATTTTAGATTTCAAAGAACATTTTGAAAAATATATTTTTTTATTATTATTAGATTTAATAACGCTTTTACACGCATACTTATACATATTATACGCAATACCCATAAGTATAGGCATTATTGTTAGGTAGTGTTCACGAATTCGTTTTCTTTTAAGAATCTACAAAAAATGTATGGTATATTTTTAATGAATAGTTCAATTTAACACATTCTATGGTGTTATATTTGATTGTTTTAAAGGCATACTATATAATACCTTTTGAGCATATTTTCATGAATTTTTTAGATGTTAAGATCACATCTTAATCCTAATTTTAGATTCTGAGTGGAACGATGGATGTACTGATTTTACAATGATGTGTGTTTTTTTTAATTGTATTTGTGTCTGTGTACACGATAAGTAGTCGAAATAATGCTTCGATTTTCAACTTCAGTATCTTGTTCGATTGGAAAGTGAATATCGTTGTTGCATTGGGGAGGTCAAAATTTAAAATGCCCAGTAATTTTCAAAAGCCCCAAGAAAAACAAAAGAAAAATTAAGGAAAAACGGGAATTTTTACGCAAAATCGATTTTTCACAAAATTGAATTTGGTTTTTGGTGTAACTTTTAAAAAAATGACCGTAGATACATGACATTTTCACTGGTTGTTTATATTTGCATTTTCTATACACGATAATATTTTCAAAATATTTTGATTTATTTTGAACTGTTTAGGGACATTTTCATTTTCCATTTTTTTTTAGTTTTTTTTCTAGAAATATCAATAAAATTTTATTTGTTGGTTAAAAAAGCTTGAAAATTTAATAGAAGGCTCCTAGTATATTGTTTCAAAGGCAGATGAAAAATATTAAAATTCCTTAGTCACAGTTTTTTTTTATCAAGTTTTTTTTTTTTTTTTTTATTTTTAAGAGAAATTTACAATCTATACCTTAGGCACAATAGGTAAATGTGATACAGAATATACATATAAGGTATCAAAACAAATTAATATTAATAATAATAACAGTTTACAATAAATTATATATAACATGTTACGTTTGATGAGCAGCCACCCATTAATGACACTTTCGCTCGTTTTTTTTTTGTTATTTCTATAATATGTATTATACATATTTTATTTTATTTTTTTTTTTTATGCATATACTTAATTTTTTAGTACTTGATTTATACGAGCAAGTCACGGCACCATTTTCGTTTTAACCTTCTTTGAGGGTTTCCGGGGATGGTAATCGGAATAAAAATCCCCCGGAAAAAAAATCCCCCGACGAACAACCCCGGAAAAAAAAATCCCCGACCCTAGGAAAAAAAATCCCCAGTTACAATATTCCTCACAATCACATGCAAATGGTTGAACAAATATATTTTGAACGTTAATTAGCGGATTGGGGTGAGATAATAAGTGGAGGTGGAAACGTTTGTAATACAATTTTGCTTCCTCATGCACTAGAGCGGTGCATCCGAATTGCATGCCAAAAAAATAAATATAAATCGGGTCGTCCGAATTGCATGCCGTCTCTTGGAGGGGTCTGTCCGAATTGCATGCCGTCTCTTGGAGGGGTCTGTCCGAATTGCATGCCGTCTCTTGGAGGGGTCTGTCCGAATTGGATGCCGTCTCTTGAAGGGGTCTGTCCGAATTGCATGCCATCTCTTAGAGGGGTATATCCGAATGGCGAATACACAACTTACTTTTCAACTGGAGGATCGGGATTTTGTTACATTACAATAAAACATATAAATATTGTAGAAGGTGACACTGTGAATAAGAATCTTAAAAATATAAAACTATTTTTTGTTCATCGACAACAAAGGCTATTAGTTAAATAAAACTATTGTAGTTTAGACCTTAGGGTAATCAAGTGAATGTATTTTAAATAATATTATTTTTAAATTTGGTGGTTTTTTTTGACATTTCGGGCACACAATATTACAATTTAAATAAACAAAATAATATATAATAATAATTCATAATAATAAAATATTATTAATCTGTTGTGAAACAGACCGATACCACAATACACTACATTACTCCAATATAGATACTGTTTGGGAAAATATTTACACGGATATAAAAATATTTCAATCCAGAAACTAATCACTAAACAGTTGTAACAACCATACATAAAAGAGCGTTTCTATACATGCATTTTTTTAAAAAAATTAGGAAAGTCCAAAAAAAAGTTTAAGTTGTTTAAGTGCATAGTAAATAAACGTGTGGTGTACGGCATGCAATCCGGACAAAGCCCTCTAAGAGATGGCATGCAATTCGGACAGACCCCTCCAAGAGATGGCATGCAATTCGGACATTTTTATTTTTTGGCATGCAATTCGTATGCAGCCCACTAGAGGTATTTTTAAATCTGTATGAATAGTATGATTAGAAACATAAGGAGGGGCATTTAATAATTTACGAAGCGCTAGATTTTGGAAAGTTTGAATTTTGTTTAGATTGGACTTTTTTGCGTTTCCCCATAGTTGCAGTCCATATGTCCACATGGGTTTAAGTAAGGATTTATAAATAAGGAGTTTGGTACTAGTGTGAGTGTATTTGTTATTATAAATGAGATTTTTTAAAAGACGTAAACGTTGGTTTAAGTTTATTCTTTTTGATTTAATATGCTGGGCCCATGTCAGCCTTCTATCGAGGGTTAGGCCAAGATATTTAGTGCTCTGAGCACTTGGTTATAAGTATTTAAAATTCAAAAATTGAAAAATATGGAAAAATCACGAAAATTAGCTTGAGCAAATTATTTTGAGTTAAGAATTCGTAAAAAATTTTCTTTTTAAATCTAAGATTTTAAAATGTAATACAAGATTCCTTATAAGATTATCAACCTTTATCAAAAAAAATGTCTATAAGAAAGTCAAATTAAATTTTTAGGAGCGTTTGAAATTCAAATTTTTACAACATTGGATATTCACTCGATTTCTCATGTAGCGATTTCCTTATTTTGTTGTAGTTCAAAAACGAATAACTGTAAATACATGAAAATTTCACTGAATGTTTATATTAGCTTTTTCTATACACCATACAATTATGAAAATATTTTGACTCTTTTTGAGCTGTTTACGGACATTTTCAGTTTTAAATTTTTTTTAGTTTTTTTTTCTATAAATATCAATAAAGTTTTATCTGTTGGGCCAAAAAGTGTAAAAATTTAATACAAGGCTCCTGATATATTGTTACAATAGCAATTGAAAAATATTAAAAATACATAGGCACAATTTTTTTTTATAAGCATTTAAAGATTTTAATTACAAAATTTATCAAAATTAATCGAAAATTATCAATCATTGTAATTAATAAATTATAAAATGTTCAGTTTTTATAGCTAAGGATTGCAAATTTAAAACAAAGGTTCTCATAAATAGTTCATACTGTAACCAAAAAATCTAAAAAATATATAACACAGTTATTTTTTACAGACATTTTATATTCAAATTTGGACGAAATTACATAATAAGAAACCTAGAATAACTATTTTAGTTATTTTGTTGTGATTGTATAATATTATCCGCGGGTACTTTAAACTTCTAGAGTATACTACTATATATCTATGATAGTATC